CCAACCACAGACAGGGGCTGCTCAGCCAAGCTGGAGCGGCCCCTACCTGCAGGACTCCCTGGCCCGCTACAGGCACGGACTGCTCCACCCCAGCTGGTGCAGGCCCTGCCTGAGGTGGGAGGTTGGCTGCTACAGCCCAGCGGCGGGTGGGAGGGTGCTTCAGCCAGGTTGGAGGGACACCCCCTGCCCACCCTCCCCTTTAATTGTTTATCCAGTTAACCAATTAAATGGGATTTTACATCTCTACTGAGTGGTGAAATTACTCTGATAAGGCCGTACCTTCCATAATCAGGCCCACAAATAACTCACTAAGGCATGGAAAAAATGCAGACCTTTCAAACATAAACCCAGACACCAGTTTTTTTAAAAGATTTACCCAAGTAGTGGAGTGTTTAGGATCCCTGCTAAATTCTAATGCACAGTCCATTACATCCATCATTCCTTATGATCCTCTGGCTAAGAAGCACGGGGTAACTATACTCAGCATTATTAGTTTTTGCCCTCTTGCCTTGTCTTCAGATTCTTCCTCTGCTTTTTCAAAAAGAGTCTTTTCCAGAAAGTTGTGCCCTCTCTGTTTCCCCATATGGTGATATGCCACACCGCAGTGAATGAGCAGTCACCATGCTTTCTATCACTTCATTTAGAAGGGCTCCAGAACTCCGGATGGGAACAGAGGCCCATTTTTAAAATGTAGAACAGCTTGTTGTTTATATCATGCTCATCAGGGGGCGAAGAAGTCAAGATATGGATCACCAAAGAAGATGCTGGAGGCATCTGTTACAAAACCTAAAACACATGCAATGAAGCACAGCTGGGCAGTGAAATGTTCAAATGAACACTGACCTTTTTTAGAAATATACCCAGTGAATTATCAACAAACATCGGAAATTCTGAATGTCACTGATTTGTTGTCACTTGGAGGAGAGAGAGAGACCCCCAAGACAACATGATGTTGTGCTTGTCTGAAAAGGAGCAGACAAAGATAAATGCACAGTTCTGAATCTGAATTGGCAGGAGTCATACACTAGGTCTGCCATCTGGAAATTAAAGAGACACACCAATGTATTTTAAAATAGTGACAACTCTGCACACTGACAGAAACCCACAGAAGTCACTGCAAGGCAGTTTGTCATTATTGAGTGTCGTATGGCTAATTCCCAGCATGCTGATTTCTGTCTCTAATATGTTTTCTTCTGAATACATTAAAACATGATTAGATTGTGAGTAATGTTGGTAACCCCTTTTACTGAACAGTTTCCCTCACGTACACTCCCTCATACGTACCCAATGCTTTCCTTCTCTTCTAAGCATATGGCAAGCCATAGACAATATAAATATCCAGAAGAAAATCCAATTTGTACACAATGTACTAACAGAATCTAGCATATTTCATCTAAAGGTTTCTTGGTAAATATTTATAAGTACTCGAAGTATGTGAAATGATGGTTTCTTTGAAAGCTGACCCTGAAATCTAGGGCATAATTCTACATTTTGCTTTGTCTCTACATGTTTGTTTTTCACTTCTGAGATTTTCTATTAATTGTTACAGCATTCCGTTTTTGTTTTACCTGTTTCTGTTGATTCTTCTGGCTTTGGAATATTACAACCAGTCTGTGGGTGCTGTACTCTTTTTAATTTTAATTAAATTTTAGTGGGTGAATACATTACCTGTAACAGAAGGAAATATGAAAATCTTAGCAGAATACCACTGTAATATAGCCTAAAAGCCCAGCAGGTGTTTGGTGGTTCTTTTGTAGAAGAATCTGTACTTTCATTTGGTTCTGAGAAAAAACATGTAGCTAGACAGTCAAAAGTAAACTTATTTGTGATATTTACTTTTCATAATCATCAGTGTGACGTACTGGATATAGAATATACAATTCATTGTATGCAAAATGGCAGATACGTAGAAATAATCTCAGAATTATTTGTGGTTATAATAAGTAGTAGTGGCAATTGTTATTGCCTACCTCATTAATTATTCTGAAGCCATTTATGAATGTCCTAAATGATGGCAGGCTAAGTGCCTTGCTTATGAGAACACATCTTTCGTATATATTTGTAGGCCTAACAGGAAGCATTTTCTAAGTTCTTCTATAGTGACACTGTCCTTGATTAAACAGAACCTAAACCAAATTAGAATTAAAAGCTGTAAATACTAATGTACGTACACTGCGTATGTGTGTATGCTCACACATGCACACACACACATGCACAAAACAAGCTGCAGAAAAGGAAAATGGGAAACCAAAGGTGATTCGAGGAATAAATAATTAGGCCAGATGTAAAATCTGCCCAACACACCTTGAATCTGGACAATTAAATACTCTCAGTAAACTGCTTCCAAACATCTATTGGCCAAGAGTCATTTTTATTATTGGGTGACTAATCTCCAATGACAAAGTTAGGAAACTGTAAGCTGTCTGACAGAACTAGAGGGAAAACTCACCACAGAATGTATATATTATGCATTTATGGAGTCAGTGGGGTTCCACTGGATACTGGTGTAACTCAGTTCTTGATTCAGGAAAGATTGACTCAGCAGAGCCCTTAGGCATATATTTAAGTCCCAGAGAAATCAGGGGGACTTCTGCTCTTCCCTACATGCTTTCCTGCACTAGGACTTGAGAGGGATTGCCCACAAAATTCAAAAGTAATTGTAGAAGACTTTTTTGTAGTTTGTTTGTTTATTTACAATATTTTTACCCTGCTCTCATTTTAAAATATTTGAGGCAGTTTACAAAATTGGAGGGGGGGGGGAACATAAAACAAACAAGTTCCAACAAGCGGGCTCAGTGCTGCATGTTGCTGAGCACCCTTAGCGTACATCTACACTGCATGTATCTTATAGCTCTGGTACCCTGAAATAGCTACCCCGCATCTACACAAGCTGCCCGTTATTTTGAAATATTTTTCGAAATAACGGGCGCACTATGTTGCCATCCCAGTAAACCTTGTTGCAAGAGGGTTAAGGGTAGATGTGCCAAATTTTAAAATAAGCTATTTTGAAATAGATTTGAAATAAGATACACAAATTGTGTAGCGCAAATTGCGTATCTTATTTCGAGTTTAGGGTGCTGTGTAGATGCACTCTCAGTGGGGCTGGGCACCTGCAACTTCCATGTAAACCTGTAGGAAAGGCAAGTGCTGCTCACCGGGCTGCTCGGAACATTGCACTCCGAGATAACATGGGGGAAATGTGAACAGACGACCAGTAAACTTTCCTGAGAGGAAGAAGCATCATGTTTACAAACTGATTCCTAGCATGGTCCTTCACTTGGTTTGGAAATAAAGTATGTTGGGGGAGAAGGAATTGTATTTACTAAATCGAGCAGCTTGGCTGTTCTTGTTTTATACTTTTGTTTTTAACATGAACTGTGACTGCATCCTCTTGAAGTGAACAGCTCCTTTCTGGGTGGTTTTGAACAGATGTAGAGACATGACAGAATTCATTTAGAACATAATCAACAGATAATAACAGGGTACTCAGCGAAATAGCAGTGAATGGCAAGTGCCACCAGCCTTTTCAAAACAGGAAAATTAGACATTTTAATCTATGCTCAACAGGGTCAGGAGAAGCAGGAAAGGACTAATTTAGAAGCCTTTTATTATGTTCTAGGGTTTTTTTTTATGTTGCTGCAAGGTTCTAAAAAATTATTCTGTTCACTTGCTGTGCACTTGTTCCTGTATATGGGAGAAAATAGACTCCTCTATAGGGATTATCTGAGGTTTTATACTTCCAGGCATGTGGGTATTTCCCTAGAGCCCAACTTCTCCTCAAGAGTCAGTGCATTCAGCGCCTTGCAGGATTAAACCCCAGGTATCTGTGAATAATATATTTTCACTGCTAAATCGTTCAATCCATTTTACCAACCTCATAGCCCGAAAATGCATTTATTACATGTATAGGGAACATTTCTGGATAAAAGGTGCAGACTGTTGTCATCAGCTAGACACATGGGCCCTGTCTACACTATAAGGAAGATTGACGTTGTCTTGGTTGATCTGTTGGGGTTTGATTTAGCAGGTCTAATGATGAGAGCATCCCTGTCAGCACTGGTGCTCCTGCTCCTCAGGAGGAGTAAGGGAAGCCGATTGCAGTGTGTGCTCCCGTCAACCTCCTGGTGTGTGGACGGTAATTTAAGATACGTCGACTCCAGCTACATAATTTACGTAGTTGGACTTGCATATCTTAAGTCGACCTTCCCCTTTAGTGCACTGTAGACACACCTCTCATGACCATAGCAGGGCCGGCCCACAACATTTTGGCACCTGAGCCAGGGAGCTCAAATGACGTCCCCATAACCCTCGCTGCACCAGCAGCAGACACCGGCAGCTGCCTCAGTTTGCCTCATGGTAAGACCAGCCCTGGTCCACAGTATAATGAAGCTGCTGGTATAACTGAACAGGGTTAACTTGCTTTGCTCCCCTCCTGACTGGTTCTGGTCCTTGACTCCAATGCTGCCACTGGCAATTTGCACCTCAGGTCACATGAGCCAAAGTTCAGGCAATGAGCGCAAATGGAAAGTGAAAACATGATGAAACATCCCTTTTGATTCCCTTTTCACAGTTCTCTATTGATAGTGGCTCCACACAGCATTCACTGGTCCCCTAGCTCTGAGTCCTCCACTGCCTTGAGAAGCATAGTACAATCTCCTGTACTGCTGCAGACTGCAAGTGTCTCAGATTGATCCATGGGCCACTGTGTTTGGTCTGGCCTCTGTTACACCAAACACTAGACGTTCCCAGGCACATGGGAATCATGCAGTTTATACGGTATGGGTACGTCTAGATTACACCTCTCTGTCGACAGAGATGTAGATTAGGCACGTTGAAATTGCTAATGAAGCAGGGATTTAAATATCCCGTGCTTCATTAGCATAAACATAGCCGCTGCTTTTTTTTGATGCAGAGCTTTTTCGAAAAAAAAGACAGTCTAGATGGGATCTGTCGAAAAATAAACCCTTTTTGACAGATCCTGTAAACCTGATTTTTTGAGGAATACAGGATCTGTCGGAAAAGGGTTTATTTTTTGACAGCTCCCCAGCTAGACTGCAGTTTTTTTTGAAAAAGCTCTGTATGGAAAAAAAGCAGTGGCCATGTTTATGCTAATGAAGCACGGGATATTTAAATCCCTGCTTCATTAGCAATTTCGACATGCCTAATCTACATCTCTCTGTCGACAGAGAGATGTAGATTAGGCACGTTGAAATTGCTAATGAAGCAGGGATTTAAATAACCCATGATTCATTAGCATAAACATGGCCACTGCTTTTTTTCCATACAGAGCTTTTTCAAAAAAAACTGCAGTCTAGCTGGGGAGCTGTCAAAAAATAAACCCTTTTTGACAGATCCTGTAAACCTGATTTTTTGAGGAATACAGGATCTGTCGGAAAAGGGTTTATTTTTTGACAGCTCCCCAGCTAGACTGCAGTTTTTTTTGAAAAAGCTCTGTATGGAAAAAAAGCAGTGGCCATGTTTATGCTAATGAAGCACGGGATATTTAAATCCCTGCTTCATTAGCAATTTCGACATGCCTAATCTACATCTCTCTGTCGACAGAGAGATGTAGATTAGGCACGTTGAAATTGCTAATGAAGCAGGGATTTAAATAACCCATGATTCATTAGCATAAGTTGTGACTTCATTAGCATATTTTCTGCCACAAAACCTCGCAGTGAAGATGTAACCTATTAGAAAGTGTACTTGGAGTTAATTAGGTCCTTAACTCAATTAATTTTTGCTTTTGGAAAATAAAATGGTGGATCTGGGGATGAGGGGTTCAGTACACAGGCTGCCCGCAGGAGAGAGAACCACCCTAGCTCTCCCTCACTGCACCAGCTTGGTGCCAAGTGAAAGGCACCTCTCCATGGCTGCTGCAGCTCCAGTGGCAAAGCCTGAGGAGGGGTGCACGTCTCCTGGCTGGGGCAGGTCCAGATCCAGGCCCGCCTTCCCTAAAAGGCATCTGAGAGTGGGAGGCTTGAGGCTGAAGGAGTCCTGGATGGGGGTCATCCCCAGCCAGCCCCTTTCACCTACCTTGTGAGTCTGCCTCTTTTCTGTAGGGTTCCATGTGTCCCTGTATGAATGGTGTTGGAACTGCACCTCCCGCATCCTTCTTAATGGGCACCTGGGGCTGGGAGGCTCATGGCTGGGGCAGTCTTCTCTCTCCTAGCCCTTAAGGTTGCCTCTGGTTCAGTACTCCATGTTCTAATACTCACTGCATTTGTATGTATAAAGTAATTGCCTGCAACCCCTAAATAGACCTGCTGGTGACCAGCTGATTGGCTTCCCAAGTCCTAATACTCTCTGTGTAGCAATGAAACAGAGACCCTGGATGGCCAACAGAGCGTTATACAAAAAGACCTTGAACAAGGGCCATTCCACACTTCATGCTGCAGCTTAAATATATCCCATAGTTCATCCTGCCATCTCGACACACATTTTCATTTTGAAGGACGCTCTCAGTCCATCATCATAAAGAAACTCACAGCAGATGTGCTTGTAATTGTGATCTGTTTAGAAAATTTCCAACTCTCAAGCTCTATATTAAAACCTGCAGAAGGTTATCATTATGGCAGTAGGTTGTTGTCCTGCCTGCATGATTGTTGGTTGATGAGAGGGTTATTTGGGGGTTTTTCACCTACACAGTCTAT